AAATTGACCATTTCTATGTACGTATGAGTGAAAAACAATGTCAAATTTTAGGTAATCCAAATGACAATTGTCAAAGGATTTATTTTTATTTTTATTTTTTTTAATTACTAAGATCATGGACTCATTCACGGTACAACTATAAATAGGCACCGTTTATGTGCTTTACAACACATCAATCTCTAAACAAGAACAATTTTCTTAGTAATTAATTAATACTATTTTCAAATTAATTGAAAAAAAAAAATGGCGTCTCGTCTGCTTTTAGGAGTTGCGGTTTTGGGTTTAGCTAATTGGTTAGCTTATGCCTCTGATCCAAGCCCTCTTCAGGATTTCTGTGTTGCAGTTAATGATGCCAAGGCTTCCGGTAATTGATTCACATTATAACATGTACTAGTACGGCACCCGCGCGTTGCGCGACTTGATATTTAAAATGATGTAGATGAAAATATTATTTATTATATTTTGAATTATTTTTTTTTTAAATATATATTATTAGTGGACGCATTATATTCATTATCATCGCCATAAATGATATTTTTTATTATTTTTAAATAAATATAGACATTATTTCTATTTTATAGATAATCTGATATAGAATAATTCAAATAAAAATGTGCAAATATGAGGCATTTATAATTATAAAAATGTACCAAAGAAAAAAAAAATACAAAAATAACTCAATTTTCATTACTATATTTTTCCACACTTTTCTAATTGAAAAAATAAATTCAGTAATTCATTTGTTTGCAAAATAAGACCGGTGGTAATCATAATAACATGCACTATAAATCACTATTTGTAAAGTTACAAACATGCCAACAATTATTTATGTTCATGTCACTAAGAAATTACTTACTTTTTACATGTAACTTATGCAAAATGTAATTTAATATAATTTTTAAAAATGTACATTAATAAAAAATACATTTAAATTGTATTATATAAATTATAAAAAGAGTAAAATTCATTTTGATAAAGTGAGTATTTATTATATAAGATAAGGAAAAATAGTTTTTTATTGTAACAATTTAGTAGCAGTAATATTTCTTGTCATTCTCTTAAGAAAAAAATGTGTTATAATAACAAAAAATTAACAATAATAAACCAAATATCTTATTTATATTCATACAAAAATATAGTTTCATAGTTCTGGATCAATAAAGAAATAAAAATGTGTGGAGTCACTTCAGTCACAAACTTTTAGATGACCCAATTTTAGGTCCATATGAAACAAATGATATCAATTAAAAATATAATAAATTAAACAAACTATGTATTTTGGTCTCAAATTATTCAATCAGTTAGGACAAAAACCAATGTAAAAGACCTAATATATAACAAAAATTTCACTAAATAATTAGATGATAAATATGTATTGTCTTGTTCAGTCTTCATGGTTAAAATCGTATTGTCACTCTTTTTCTCTTTTATGGTTGAGACTTTCTCACTCTTTTTGCTATCATTTCTTAATTTTCTTTCTTTTATATTTCATAATATTATTCTGCAATATTAGTC